GTGCTGGCACTGAGCTCACTCCCTGAAAAAGCACCCTGGGGCCAGCTTCCAGGGGTGGCAGCTGCCCTCAGCATGTTCCCACCCTCTTGCTCAGTATGGGTTTGGGAGGCCCAAGCAGTGGTGGGGCAAGCAGGGTTGCTGTGAGGTGGAGCAGGGGATATGGCCAGGCTTGCATGTGTCCACTGTCTCTAGGATCTGTCCACAGCAGCATGAGTTACAAGCATCATGAGTAGTGAAGGCAGCATCCCACAGTGTCACTGCCTGCAACCCCCTGTCCCCCCGCAGGCACATCCCCGGGGGTGCAGAGGGGCTCTCCCCCTTAGGATGCTTGCCCTGGCCAGGCTCCAGGATGTATTTGTGGCTCTTGCAGTCTTCCCAGCTGTCCCCTGACAATCTGTGCTGGCCTGACCTGGCACTAGGCTCTCACCCAGGTACCAGCCGGGCATGTGGCCCCTCTGAGCAGCTGGTGTACAGGCAAGGGGTGGTAGCACAAACACCAGGGGAGGGACATGGGGTGCGATTCATCCCAGCCCCCTAAATCTTCCCTGCGAGAGTGAGGGGTTATTTTGGCAGGCAGGTTTGGGCAAGCACTCATGGAAGCTTAGAGCTGGGACGCTGCAGTCACAAGGCACCAGCACCTCTGTAGGCACCCAAATCTGGCTGAGCTGGAGGCAGGCAGGAAAGCCACAGCCCAATTTCTCAGGGAGCCTAGGGACAGGGCAAGACACTGAGGCAGGGGTTACACCCAGGAAGTTCCTGTTAGACAGTGGGACAAGCCTTTCCCCAGGAGGGGCAGTTGGACCCTGGAGTGGGGCATGGAGGGGAGATCACCATCCTTGGAGACCTTAGCCCAGGGCAGGACTGGGCATGGGGCAGCAATGGGAGGGGTGTGCACCCAGACCCCTCTGCACCCCCTTGTCCTGGAGGCCACCCCAGAGGATGACTTTGAGGGCACTCATGGGCCTGGGCACCTGGATGGCCCCAGCTGTGCTAGTTGGATGTGACCCTGATGCCCGGAGCAAAGGGGAGTGGACAGCAAGGGGAAACTGCTCCTTCAGGGGGGACATTTGAGGGCTGAAGCCCTGCCTTGCCCTTCCTGGCTGCTCACACCATGCACATCATCGTCTTCCCCTTGAGTGCTGAGCCCATGAAGTTTCTCTGGGCCAAAGCATCTCACAGAAAGCCATCCATCCTTGCCCAGGAATGATGGGAGATGCATCTTCCCCCTCCCCTCAGAAGCCACGTGCTGGCAGTTACTGACTCTGCTTGTCCAAATATGTACCTAATTTGTCATTATTAATAGCTGCTCTCCAGAGTCCAGCAGCAGCTCTTCTGCTGCTTTCTCCATGGCGCCAGTAGCCTCTCAGTCCTCAGCTGCTCCCGTCCCTCCTATGCCCCCTCCAACTCAGGGCTGAGCATTCCTAGAAAGCCACTTTCTCCAGTTCTCAAAAACCTTTTGCTCCCCTCTACTTGGAGCACTGGTGCCAAAAAGTTGTGGCAGGCAAGGGCTGCACGCGGTCCCGAGGTGATGGGCTGGGGGGAGCCCTGTGCACCCCTCCTGTCCCCATCCCATCCCAGCCTCCCCACGTGCCACATGGCTCCTGTGGGCCCTCTGC